TGCATTGTAGAGCACGGCATGGCATGGCGTAGAAGAGCACCGCAAAGCGTAGCATCAACCTAGCATTGCATTGCATGCCGTGGCATGGCACGGGAAATGACGCCAGCGCTGCAGCGGGAGCACGAGTCGAAACGAGCGGAAGCGCGGAAATGACGCCAACGCTGCAGCGGGAGCACGAGTCGGAACGAGCGGAAGCACGGAAATGAGGCCAGCGCTGCAGCGGGAGCACGATTCGGAACGAGCGGGGCCCGAAAATGAGGCCGGCGCCTCAGCGAGAGCAGCATGTTGGACACAAATGCAAGCGAAAACCCAACTCCGGGGAAACCTGTGTGCAAAAAACAGTACGCGGGGGGGGGTCGGCCACTTTCAAACCGTCATCAGGGGAAGAGGGAGAGTAGTATTCATATTGAGCAATTGTGGAAGGGGGAGGGGAGGGGAGGGGCCTGGCAGCAGCTGCCGTGGAACCAGGACATGAGCCCCCATGCTGGGGGCCCCTTTGCGCGGCAGGGGTGGGGGCCCACTCGGGTGCCCCCAGGCCGAGGGAGGGAGGGGGGGGGAGGGGAGGGGAGGGAGGGAGGGGGACACAGGGAAGAGGGGAGAGGTAGCGGGGGAGAGGGAGGGGGAGGGAGACAAGCTAGGTACGCTCGCGTCATATCTGGCGTCCTACCCCTCCCTCCAGTCCCTTACCATGGCGAAGACCTCCTCCCTATTCGCACCGTCGGACGTCGCAGCATGGCATAGCATTGCATGGCATAGCATGGTGTTGAAGACTAACGCGTAGCTTTGACGTAGCATGGCGTGGCGACGCACCCACAAAAATGGGGGCTTCTGCGGCCTAACAAATCAAAGAATCGACACCGAATGTGTAATCACATCCGATGGTTTCTCCAGGAGGCATTTTTTGTTAGATTTTGGAACCAGTCTGGAAGGACCGATAATGACTGGAAATAATGACGCCAGCGCTGCAGCGGGAGCCCCAAGAAACGCCAAGAGGCCCCCAAGAGGCCCCCAAGATGGTACAAGAGGGGTCCGACATGCCACAAGATCGCTCCAAGACGCCCAAGATAGCCCCCAGACGCCCCAAGAGGCCTCCAAGAGCACTCCCAAGAGGGCCCCAGGAGGCAAAAATCATTGCTTTTCCTGAGGTTTTTGAAAGATTTTGGAGCTTCCACCTTTTCGGCTTCCCGACGCCCCAAGACGGCCCAAGAGGCCCCCAAGATCGCCCCAAGAGGGCCCAAGAGGCCCCCAAGAGGGCCCCAAGATGGCCCAAGAGGGCTCGAAGACGGCCCAAGAAGCCTCCAAGACGGTCCAAAAGGGCCCCAAGAACGCCCCCAAAGGGGCCCCAGAGAGGGAACACGAAACAACATTTCGAGCCCTCGGCCCTAAGAAGCCCCCACGAGGCCCCAAGAGGCCCCTAAGAGGCCCCAAAAGGCCCCCACGAGGCCCTCAGGAGGCCCCCAAGAGTCCCCCAAGCGGCCCCAGGAGGCCCCCCAAATGCCCCCCCGACCGAGCACGCAAGCAAGTGCAAGCGATGCTACAATGTGCTCTCCTTTCGGTAGACTCCCAACGGGGCCCCTACAGACTTGCAACAAGCGTCAAGAACCTGCCCAAAAAGCACTGTCCAGGAGCGTTCACAAGTGCCGCGAAGAAGCCCTCCTTACGCCGGAAAGCCCGGAAAGCCGGGTGGGGTGAGCTGTTCTTCTCACCACCGCGCCCTCTCACACAATGGCTTCCGCACGCCGCCCAGAGCGCGACGTTCGGCTCATGCCCCCAGAACGCTCCAGGAGCGCGCCAAAACGGCACCGGAACGCCCCCGAAACAATCCAAGCCGCCTCAAGTCGCCGAACAATCGTTCCAAATCGCCCAAGGTGACCTCAAAATTGCCGTCGAGGCCGCCAAGAAACCCCAAGAGAGCCTCAAGAGGCCCTCCAAGACGGCCATTACAATCAAAAACCGTCCCATTCCCAGAGAAACATGTACACTTCCCGCATGAACGGCGTTTCGAATTTCACAGCGCCTCAGACTACGCAAATAGCCCCCAACATCGCCCCGAGACAGCCCAACAATCCGCTAAAATCGGCCCAAGACGGCCCAAGATAACCCCAAGACGGCACAAGAGAGCACCAAGACCGCCCAATAGGCGCCCAAAGGGGGATTCTGCCCCTAGGATCACCTCAGAAGCCACCAACATCCCGCAAATACGTCCCCCAAGACGCCCCAAGAACCATCCAAGAAGCCCAACAAGAAGCCCCAACGACCCCCAAACGGCCCTTACGGGGCCTCAAGAGGCTTCAACACTGCCTCCAAGAGGTTCCCGAGACGCCTGGCAAAATAACCCCCAAAGCGCCGCATTGACACCAGGCCCTCGGGCAAACGGCAGACATGAGACTGTATGGGCCGGCGGAATGAGCGAAGCGATTAAATAATGACGCCAGCGCTGCAGCGGGAGCACGATGGGGAACGAGCGGAAGCGCGGAAATGAGGCCAGCGCTGCAGCGGGAGCACGAGTCGGAACGAGCGGTAGCCCGAAAATGAAGCCAGCGCAGCATTTGTTTTCAACAAACCAAGAAACGTGGAAGCGCGGAAATGAGGACGCGTAGCCTGACATAGCATGGCGTGGCGACGCCCCAAAGTGGGTGAGGCTTCTGCGGCGCAGAAAAAAATCAACGAATCGACACCGAATGTGTAGTCAGTTCCAATGGTTTTTTCGAGGGGGGGAGCATTTTCTAGATTTGCGGGCCGATTTGGAAGGATCGAAAACCATGCCGTGGCATGGCGTTGGAAATAATGACGCCAGCGCTGCAACGGGAGCACCATTCGGAACGAGCGGAAGCGCGAAAATGAGGCCAGCGCTGCAGCGGGAGCACGATTCGGAATCCTGTGAAAAAAAACATGCGCGGCGAGGGGCCGGCCGTTTCCCGGACGCCACCAGGGGAGAGGAGAGTAGCACTCATATTTGTTTCCGAGTGGAGGGAGTGATGGGGGACAGAGAGAGGAGAATAGAGGGAGGGGGACAGAGGGAAGGAGGGAGGGAGAGGAGCCACGACGTGCGGTGCCCCAATATTTTCAGCACGGGGTCCCCGAAGTCCCGACCCTCCCCCCCCCCGGACCAGCTCCTCGTACTGCGCCGCTGTTGGGCGGCCCAGGGGCCCAGCGAGGGCCCCGTGAGGCCCAAAACGGCCCAGAGCCTCCCGCCCTCAAAGGGAGGGGGGGGGGGAGGGGAGGGGAGGGGAGGGGAGGGGAGGCAAGCCAGGTGCGCTCGCGTCATGTCCGACGTCCTACCCCTCACTCCCATCCCTTACCACGGCGTGGATCTCCTCTCTATTCGCAAAGTCGGATGTCGAGCAGGGCAATGATCGCGAGAGGGTGCGCGATGCATCGGGAAGCACGGTATGGCATGGCGTAGAAGAGCACGGCAGAGCGTAGAATGTCAAAGCATGGCGTAGTGAAGTATTGCATCACAAAGCATTGCAACGCAACGCATGGCATCGCACAACGGCGCAGAACAGAACACCGCACAACATGTCATGGCAAGGCACCGGGTTCCTGGGAGGGTAAGTGAATAGTCTTCGAAGGGTCGGGGCCAGTCTGGAGCCGCGTCTCCACATTTAGCTCCCAAGGCTCCGCGACAAGCTCCCACAGGCAGGGCTGATGGAGATCACCCGCTTGAGACTTCCTCCAAACCCCGCCGCCCCGAAGTGGGGGGGGGCCTGCTGCGGAAGAAAAATTCAACGAATCGACACCAGATGTGCAAGCAGTTGTTTTTTTTTCTGGTTGTCATTTTCTCGATTGGGGGCCTAGTTGAAAGGACCGAAAAGGCCTGCGCTGCAGCGGGAGCACGTTTTGGCACAACCAGAGGCGCAGAAATGGGGCCAGCGCTGCAGCGGGAACAACATTTTGAAGTACCGAAAAAATCGGATTGCCAAACAAACAAATGAAAGCCAGGAAATAAAGCGCACGATTCGGAACGAGCGGAAGCGCGGAAATGAGGCCAGCGCTGCAGCGGGACCACGATTCGGAACGAGCGGAAGGCCGAAAATGAGGCCAGCTCTTCAGCGGGAGCAACATTTTGAACAAAAAACAAGCGAAAAGACAGTTCCCGGGAATCCACATTAAGCGGAGGGGGGGGGGAGGGGGGGGGCGAATATCTTCCCGACGTCGTCACGGGAGAAAGAGGAGTAGTATTCATATTGTGTAATTGCGGAGGGGAGGGGAGGGGAGGGGAGGGGGAGGGGAGGGGAGGGAGGGGAGGCCAGCTAGGTGCGCTAGCATCACATCCGACGTCTCACCCATCCCTCCCATTCCTTACCATGGCGTAGGTTTTTTCGAACAATCGGAAATGGACCGGCGCTGCATCAGGAACACGATTTAGAAGATCTGAAGCGCGGGAACGAGGCGAGGCCCGAAAACGGGAATGAAGCCATCGCTGCAGCGGGAGCACGATTTACAAGGACCGCAGCAGTGGAACGAGGCCACCAGCGCTACAGCGACAGCGCTACGCGGAAGGACCGAACACGCCAGTGCTGCTGCGGGAACACTGTTTGGAACAACCCGAGGAGCGGGAACGAGGCCAGCGCTGCGGCGGGAGCACGATTTTGAATGACCGAAGCGCGGAAATGAGGGCGGCGCTGCAGCGGGAACATGATTTTGGAAGAACCGGAAAAGACCGGCTTGAAAAGACACATCGGAACAACCAAAAATCCCGTGCGCAAGCAAAACGCGGAGAGCACGGGAGACTCTCCCGACAGAGTCAGGGGAGAGAAGAGTAGCAGTCAGATTGTGTAATTCTGAAGGGGGGAGAGGATCCTCTCCCCCCCTCCACAATGTGATTGTGGAGGGGGCAGTCAAATTGTGTAATTGTGGAGGGGGGGAGAGGGGGGGAGGGGGGGAGAGGATCCTCCCTTCGCCTCCCCTCCCGTCGACGGGAGGGGAGGCGAGGGGAGGGAACGCCGTGCCCGAGGAGGAGGGGCAGAAGGCAGGGCCACGGGCCCCCGCAGCACCAGGCGTCGCCGGCGCCCCGCCGCTCGCGGCCGGCTCTCGGGGCCCGCCCGTGGCCTGCGGCGGCGAGGCCCGCCCGCGAGGGCGGGGGAGGGGCACGCCGGAGGAGGAGGAGGAGGAGGAGGAGGAGGAGGAGAAGGAGGGAGGAAGGAGGGGGGAGGAAGGAGGGAGGAGGAGGAAGGAGGGAGGAGGGAGGAGGGAGGACGGGAGAGGAAGGAGAAAAGAGGAGGAAGGAGGAAGGAGGAAGGAAGAAGGAGGAAGGGAGGGAGGGAGGGAGGGAGGTAAGCAGGAGACAGACAAGACAAGACATCGCAATGGAGCTCTGAATCGATAATAAATCGCAAAATCGCTGAGCTCTGCGCGCTGCTTCTGCAGCTTGACCTCGCTCGAGAACGCAGGAGGCCTGTCGAACGCCGCCCGCGCGGCCCCATACTGGGCGGTCCCCCTCAGGTCGGCGCGCAGCCTGGGAGGGGGATGCCCAGCTTCGGGGACCAACCTCAAACAACCGCACCCTCACGGACAAACCTGATGGGACGAGCGGGGGCCCTCTCGGCCCCTTGCTCGGAGAGAGGAGGAGGAGGAGGGTCGGACGAGAGGGAAGTGCTAGGTTGTCCAGGGTGCGAATTATCACCTGTGGCCTTTCCTTTTCCCCCCTCAACCCGACCCGTACGACGACTACGACCCTGCCCCTTCCCTCTAGTCGGCTCAGCTCGGGGGTGAACCATAACGGGAACGAGGGGGAGGGCGGGGTTGCTGCAGGTGGTAACCTCAACCTCTTGCTGAAGCACCTCCCTCGAAACCTCGCCTCGCTGAATTAAGTTTTGCAGCCGAGCAGAACCTGCTAGATTACGCTGCGCAGACTGAGACAGGCGGCGGCGGGCGACAGCCCCAGGCTCAGGTGTTGCTGCTGAAGGTCCACTCTTCACCATACCCAAACCAGAACTGGCCGCCGATGTCGAAAGAGACTGTGGTGGCTCAGGAGGCTCATCCGTGTCCAGTACCAACTCAAAAACATCTTGGTCCGACCACGGCAAGACACTATTGTTACCAGCCACAGTGAGTAAGCGCCGAACCTTCTCCTCGAAAGTCACTTGGTCTGAGCTCCGAGCCACCTCTCCGTCGGGCCGCGCGGCGCTGGGCCTGGAATCTGCTCCGTCCGCTCGACGTCGCGAAGGTATTCCTGCATGATCGGCCGCAACACCCTCGCCGCCTGACAGTCCTGCACATTCAAGTTGATCGTCAGTACTCCCTTGCGGTCCACCTGAGCGTCCACTCCATCCTTGGCTGACCGTGCCTTCTTGTACCTGCAATTGAGCACCAGGAGGCCGAGCTGCTGCGGCGTCTGCTTGTCCACGACCGACGTCCAGAACTCCGAGAAAGCTTTGTGGCCCTGCTCGTTGGGATGGCATCCTCCTTGTGCGCACTTTCCGATAGCCCGCCTGATTATGAGTGCGAACAGCGCGACGTGTGGTGCGCCTCTTGCCTTCCAGTCGATCACCTCGCCGCAGTCCTGCTTTGCCTTGAGCTATTTGCTCGTGGCGTCGTAGTTTTGGTTGCCCCCCGTGCAGGCCTGGCCCAGAGAGTCCGCTCCTTCGTCCACGAAATAGTTCCGATAAGCGCTCGCCTCCAGCATCGCCGTGCGCCTCTCCAGTCCGACCACTAGCCTCGCCATGCCCTGGGCCATCTGCTCCATATGCGCCGTCGTGTCCTTCTTGGCTGCCTTGCGCTTGGGCCCCACCGACCCTGGGGCACTTGTGCGCGCCGTCTGCGACATCCAAGAAGGCATTGGCGGCAGCGACATCACAAGGTGGAAGTTGAGCACGGGGCTTAACAACTCGAGGTCTGAAAGGCTTGACCCTCAATGGCAGGTGCGACTGTAAATGTAGGCGAAGCATCTCGTAGCAGGCCCCATCGAACTCGCAAATCGGGCACCTGTGACTGTCGGGTTCGATGAAGGGTGTGTTAGACGAGGCCCCGGGAGGATCACAACAGCCCCTTAAAAGAGCGCTCTGCAAGTGCCTGCTAGCTGTGACCTGAGTGGCGCACGTTCTGTTGCACACTATGCACGCGTTCGACGGAGTAAGTACATGTGCAGTATTAAGTACTCGATGCCTATGCCGTAGGTGTTCTGTGAGTGCTCTCCTCGTCTCGAACCTGGCCCCACATTCGACTCCCTCGTGTATGTGCGTGCAGGCGAAGGGCTTCTCGACGGGCCCGTCCTCCTCGTCCCCCACCTCATCGGCCTCCTCCTCTAGTCCTGGCGGAGCGATCTGGCACGAGAAAACCGATGCACGATGCTCAGAAAAGTCGAGGTTGGCGAATTCGCGAATCATATCCTCGTCGTCGAGTAGCTTCCAGGGAGAATGAGCCAGGGCAAGCAGCAGTTCTTCATGACCATGAATAGCAGCAGCAGCAGTCTGGAGGTCCGATCGCATCTGATAGAGCCAGGGGGACGCGTACTGGGAGAGGCCTAAGTCGACCGAGCAAGGGCCCCTATCTTCCGATTCGAAGTCGACGAGCGAGAAGAGAACGGTCCAGATCTGCTTGTTTACCTGCGGGCGAAGTGCCCACGCCTGGTACCAGGCCAGTCGACGAGTGCGCAGCTCCACTGAACAAGGAGCCACACGCCAAAAGGCAATAACTTGTGAATTCGAAAGCCTCTGCTTATGTTGGGGCCCCTGCCACGTCGCCGAGCCACCCATAGCGATCCGTCCTAACTTGGCGATGTGAGCGTCCATACAAGAGTATTGGTGGTCGCTCAGGCAAAAACACTCCATGGCTGACAGCATCGTGTTCTGGACCAATGAGAGAAAAAGAGTACGCTTCCATCTCCGCGGTATTCGCAGCGACCAGACGCCTCCAAGTCCGTAGAAAGCTGAGTTCGTGGCAGAGAAGCGGCGCTCCAGCTCGTGAGATGTGGTCTGAGAAGAGGATACCACTGGTCCAAAATAACGCGCAACATCCACGACCGTGCCCGCCACACGGCCTGGTTTACCCATCCACTGCTTGCAAGCCGAGGCCTCGGCCCCAGAGAAGAAGAAACTGGTGACCTGCTTGTCTCTGTTCTGCTTCGTGCCGTCCAGCGCCAAAGCTGCGTCCAATACGTAGGTAAGCAGGAGGAGGAGGAGGAGGAAGAGGAGGAGGAAGAGGAGGAGGAGGAGGAGGAAGAGGAGGAGGAGGAGGGGGAGGAGGAGGAGGAGGCGGAGGCGCAGCGTCGAGAAGGGGCTCGTCGTCATCGCCTACACCTGCCTGTTCTGCCTACGTCGCAAACTGCGGCTTCACCCGCGAGTGTTGCCGCCTTCGCGAAGTCCTGCGAATCGTCGGCACTCGGACGCCATTGATCACGCCGTCTCATCGCCTGATGAAGGAGACGGTGGAGGTGGAAAATAATCACTAACAGTCGAAGCCTCGCGAGCGAGGGATCCACGATGGCCAACCGTCGGGGCAGGGAAGGGTCCGCCCTCGAGCCCGACACGGACCCAACAAGAGCAAGGAATCCAGAGCATCGCGCGCAATGGGAGAGGCAGTCGCGGCACTCGCAGCCAAAAAGACACCTGAGGTCAGGATTTCGCATGCGCGCGTCCGCGACCCATCCCCCCGTCCAGGTTCTGACGACAGCCATTCTCCAGGAGGGGGGGGGATTTCATCAGGGCGCCCGCCGCCCCCGCCCAGCCCGCGCCCGCACAGACATCCTCCCCGACCTGGAACCAGCGCTGGAGCCGAGAGACAAACAACGAGGGGGGTAAACGAGGAGGCAAACGGGCAGTGAAGAGGAGAGATGCCAGCCTGGAGGCAACGCTGAGTCTTGAGGCGGGGGGAGGGCCTTCCTGCCGCCAGGGCCTCGCGCTGGGCCGACTGCCGAGCGCGCGGGAGGGCGAGGCCAGCACGGGCGGACGCGGCAAGGGGGCCGAGCTCCGCTGAGGCCTCCGCCGCCACTCGCAGGCTCCAGGCAAGAAAAGGTTCGATCCAGAAGTTCGGCCACGGCCTAGTGCCACCCCCCGCCCCCACCCACTGCGCCATCGGAAGATGTTCCTCCGCCTCCGCCTCAAACAGCGGGCACAGCGACCGCCAGACCGCTGCGGCCCCAAGCGCCGCGCGCATCCTGGCTGCCAGGGCCACGGCCCGCAGCGGCGGAAGCGGGGGGGCCCGCGCGCAGGGAAGTCGGAAAAGCATATCAGTGAAAGCCAGGAGCCTGGGGCTCTGGAAAAGGCGGGTCAGAGTGTGCCGCACGTCAGCCACCTCTCCCCTCGGGAGTTCGTGCAACTGACTTCTGCACTGCAAGACGCTGACAGCACGCCCACGATGCAGCGCGCACCAAGCAGCCATGCCCGCTCCCGCGCGAGAGATGGCACTCGCGCGTTCTCTGCACTTCTGCACCGCAGGCGCCCACTGCGCATGCGCGGTGGACGACGGGCCGATGATGAATCCGATGCTCTAGCTCGGAGACGACCCGAAATTGCCCCCACTCGCTCGAAGTGTCTCTCCGGAAAAGCTGAGCACGTCGCTGGACCTCGGGCGAGAGAGGGGGCCCACAGCGGCACGCAGAAGCATGCGCTTGGCCTAAGATGCAGGTTCGCCGTCTCGCCAGACACAGCGAAGACGCGGCTCTGATTCTTGCGACCAGGGGCCCCCCAAACCACAGCGCCGCAGTCGCCCGCGCGCCATCTGGCGAGCCCCTCGTCGCAAGCTCCGAGGGGCGCGCCAAGGTCGCGGACAGAAGTGCCCACTCCCAACGCGAACATGCCACCCGATGGGGGGGGGGGGCCTTGCACGACTCCCCCTCGCACGTCGCGTAGGGGGTCTCGAGCAGAACAGCCACTGCACGCGGTGGCTTGCGCGCGCGCGCCCCCTGGAGCGCCTCCGCCATGCCGCGAGGGGCATCCGGGCTCAGGCCCCAAGGTCCCGCCACAACCAAGAGTGGGCCATGGGGGGGGAAGCCTGGCCGTGATCATGCGCGAGCAGCATGGGCGACGACGACTCGGGGGGGCAGCCTCCGGGGTCGGTCGCGCGCATGCTCGCTATTCGGGCCCTAATCATCGAGCTCGACCAGGTTCGACAAAAAAGCTTCTGCACCGGACAAAACCCCTCTGGGGGGGCGAAACCGTCGTTTGAATGATACGGGCAAAACTGGCATCGAACGCTCTCGAGGTCGCCTTTGGCCCCGTGATTTGAAAGAGAGAGGGCGAGCGGCACCGGGAGGACAGGAGCGGGGCGAACCGCCCGACGGAGCCTGCGATTTCGGGATGAACACTCCGATGGCCGCATGAAAGTCAGACCGCATCGGGAAGCCTGACCGAAGCCAAACCGAAGCACGATACAGATCTCAACCCCCTGCCTCGCCACTAGACAAGCTGCAGCTGCCAGCTCTTCGGGGCCAGGCGCCGCGGGCCTAGCACGGGCCGCGGCCTGGCGCGGCACATGCAAGCCAGTCGGCGGGAGCTCGCCCCACTCGGGTGCAGGCGTGGCGAACCGCACCAGGTACCTCTCCTGCATATGCGCCCTCCTCCGCTCGACGGTGGGGCCCCAGGGCGGCGCGAAGACGGGCGCCCAGTGGGCCGCCAGTGCCGCCGCCACGCCCTGCCGCGCGGCGACGGCGCCCTGGGGGGGGGGGGGGGGGGCACGGCGGCGAGGCGTTGCCGAGCCCCCCGCGGGGCCCACGGCTGGGCGCGCCTCTGCGGGGCGCGGACCTGCGCCAGCATGCGCAGCTCCTCGGCCGACCCCACCTCAGCCTCGGACTGCGCCTCGCGCCTCCTGGCCGCCGCCTCTCGTCGCTGAGCTGGCGTGGAGCGGCGCTCGAACTCCGCGGGGTCCTTGAGCACCACCCGTTCGGGCTAACCCTGCGCCCGCAGCTCGATCACCTCGCTAGCCCAGGCGCTCTGCGCCATCACGACGCGCGCCAGCTTGGCGCCCCGGCGCCAGAACGCCCTCGCGAGCTGTCGCCAGATCATAGCGTCCGCGCCCTTCCGCGCCCCCGTCGGTCGCCAGCAGCTCGGCCTGCAGGAGCTCGGCCGCTGTCCGCAGGGTCGCGACGTACGCGGCGTAGGCGCCGGGCGGCGCCAGCTGCTCCCAGTGGACCTCCTCACAGTAGCACTCCACGATCCCCCTGTAGCGCGGGAGCTTTACCAGCCCCCTCGGAATTGGCGCGGGGCCTCTGGCAGGAGGCCGCGGTGCCCGAGGAGCAACAGACGCGATCAGCATCGCATGGTCGCTCACGCCGTTGATGCGGAGCTCCCTCGGCTCGCCACACACCGAGGCAGCTTGCCACTGCCGGCGCAGGGCCCAGCGCGGCACACTTTGTCGATCCTGGAGGCCAAGCGCAGGCGCTGATGCCAGTGCGTCGCGCGCGCAGGAGCCAGCTCGACAGCCAGGCGCAGCGCCTCCTTCCAGGCGCGCCGATCGTGCGCCCGCGGGCCCGACGGCGGGGCCGCTGGGGGAGGGCCGCCGAACTCATCCCGCTCGAGGACGTCGCCGCAGTTGAAGTAGCCGACGATGACCACTGCACGGGCCGCGGGATCGGCGCGAGCCCACACTAGATCAGCACGAAAATGTTGGAGGAGGCGGGTCCGCATCTCCGCTGCGAAGCCGGAGCTGCGCACTTTCCAGCGGCGCAGCTCGGCACCAGGCTGCGATGCCGCGACTCGGAGGGCACGGCCAGGAGCCGCAGAGGACGGAACATAGACGACGCGCTCTCCACTGGTCAGCGCACAGAAGACCGCGGTCACACCTCCCGCAGCAGTCTGCACACCAATCGGAACAGATGCAAAGCGCACAAAATCGCGGGCAGTACGGCCAAGCGGCCGCTGCATGGTCTCAACGCCCGCATCGTCTCCTGTCCTCCCAGGGCGACTGGCCCCAGCCAGTACGTCTGCAGGTCCCGCATCTTGCGCTTGACGATTTTCGGGGAAAGCCCGCGAAGGCCCGAGCATTCCAGGAAGCAAACCGCGCCGCCCCAGCAACGCCACTCTGCGCGCCGCCCCAGCAGCGCGCCATACGGTTAAAGACACCACTCCTGAGCCTCGGGCTGCAGCGCCTGCGCCGCTGCCTCCGCCAGCTCGTCCTCGTCGAAATTGAACTTCCTGGCGCAGGCCATCCTCCTCAAAATCTTCGGGCACGCGGCGGACGACGCGATATTCACTCGCAGCAGCTGAGTCCACTGGAGCGACAGCGCGGCCGCATCCTTCTCCATGAATAGCTTGTGTGTGAGAGCATCCTCTCAATGCCCTTCCTGATCTTCTTGGGCGCCAGCTCGTGGCTGACCTGTCGTCGATTGCGGCCCTTGCTCAGATTGAGGTTGGCCTGCGCGCCTGTCGGGGCCAGCGCAATTGGCCCTGGCCAAGCCGCACGAGCTGCAAGAGCTTGTTGGTCCTCTTTTCGGCGAGCGCGGCCACGCCCATGCAGCGCAGCAGGAACCTCTGCGAGACCGCGTCGCCCTCCAGCCGCACGCGATCATGGAGCTGGCCTCGGCGATCAGCGGCGCCAGGGCCTGCTCGACCGCCTGCTTGGGCAACGCCGTCTTCGCAAAGACCGTGGCCACCGCAGGGTCGGGGTCTCTGCCCCGGCTGCCGCCCGTCTGCGGCACCGAGACCCCCGAGTTTAGCACAACCAACTCGTCCTTGAGCATCCGGATATCCTTCTGCATCCGGTCGAAGTCGTCCATCCTTGCCTCGACTGGTGCGATGCGGTCCGCCATCGCTTGGAGTCGCGCATCGTTCTACTTCGCCAGGTCGATGACTGTGTTCTGGAAGGCCTGGGACATGCTCGCGCTAGCCGTCGCCACTGCCGTCTGCAGCGAATCCTGGAGGCGCGCCTCCATCCTCTGCAGGCGTGCCTCGACGGACTGCGGCACACCCTCATGACCGTGGCCAGCTGCAGGTGCCGCAGCTCCTGCCGCTCAAGCAACGCCACGCCGCGCGGGCGGGGCGCCCAGGCCACCAGCATGTCCAGGATGCGCCGCGGGGGCCTGCCGCCTCGGTGCTGAGCGGCGTGCTCGCTCCGTGCCAGCAGGAGGCAAGCCCGCCCGCGCCGCTGCGGCAGCCCACGCGTCAGGAGGGTCGCGGCCTCCGCCATCCCGTCGAGTTCCGCGGTCCCTCCCCTGGCCCTCGTCGGCGAGGAAGAAGCTCGGAACCTGCTGCCTCCTCCACTGCTCCACATCGTCGTCAAAATCCACAGGGCCAGACCCATGACCAGCAGCACGCCCCTGGCCGCGCCCGCTGCGCGACGTCGAACCTGCATCCGAGGAGGAGGAGCCCATGTCGAGCCTGCCTCGGGCAGCCCTGCGGCGACGTCCCGCGTGCCCCTTCCTGCCGTCCCGACCCCCGCCATTGCCAGCTCCCACGGACTCCTGCGAGGCGAAGGTGGGGCAGGCGTCGATGGCGGCGGCGTCCTGGGACGAGAGCGCGTGCACGGAGGAGGCCGCCATGCGGTGGAGAGCTGGTGCGATCGAGCCGACAGGAACAGGAAACGCCTCCGTTTACCCGCCGCCCCGAGCGCAGGGAGCGCGAGCGAGAAACGTCGCCAGACTTCAAGAAGTCGTGCCTGCCGCGGACTAGCGGTATCCACTTCGTTCCAAGGAGAGACTAGCATCTTGAGCCAAAATGGCTACGGAGGAGGAAGAGGAGGGAGGAGGCACGGTGAGGGCATTGGATTAGGAATAATCAGATAAAGAATCAACGGTCGGGAAGCAGGTGGAGCGCCATGAAGGCTTGGCCATGGACATCACCGCCGCCCTCATCGGATAAGGAAGCCTCCAGGGACCGAAGCCTCCTGGGCACGCCCTCGCACGAGCGCCCCCGCCGTAGCGAGACTAGCTGCGCGAGAAGCTCGTCACGCCCTCGCAGGAGGGAGGAATCTTTTCTGGGTTTTTGTCTCCCCCCTCCACTTCCCATGAGTTTTCCTATTTTCTGGGGAATCGACGATTAATTGTGTCTGTGTTTTTTCCCTCCTGACACATGGAGGTCAGACCGGCCCTGCACTCCCTTCAGTCGAGTAAGAGATCGGCTGCAGAATTGTTGTGCCCAGGGGGTGACGCTTCGATCTCCGAATTTTTCTGGGGTGGATCGATTATGTATAGTCGATCTCCTACTCGAACGGAGGTCAGGACGGCCCTGCACTCCCTTCACGCCCTGGTCCCAAGCGCGTCGGCATTAGACATGGTGCCTGTCTTTGCCCTGCAAGTCGGCCAACCACTTGCACAGTGCCCCCAGCCATCCAGCACTCCCACGATACAGAAACCCTGCCAAGGCTCCAACATCGATCCGAGCATGAGGCCACACGACTCTCTGGAGTGCCACAAACGCAGCAGTCTGCCGTGGCATGCTAAGCAGCCACGGTACCCGAGTCATCGAAGGCGCGGAGCAAGAGCTGCCCTCCCTCTGACTGTCCCGTTTAGCCAGACGGAACGGCCTTGCCCCCAAAACAGCATCGGCCCTCGACCCTCCTCCCTCTTTCCTTGGTGCACCCGAAATGGGTACGGAAGAAGAAATGGGGCACGATGCCCAGCAGCAGATAGTGCTGAAGACCGACAGCGGCCGCTGTTGCGCAGGCGATTTTCCGCTCCAGATGCTCAACATCCAAGGCGACTTCGACAGCGATTCCTGCTCTAAATGAACAAGAGCTGCTGTCGGTGTTCGTCCCCATTCTTCCCTTGGGTACTCTGCCTATTGTAAGACCCTGGGGGCCAACAGACGTTTTGGGTATGGTTGGTTTGGGCATGCCTCAAGGAGCTTAAGTGGTGGCATCGTCAGAAGAATCACCAGAATCCAAATTCTTATCGTACCCAGTTTGACCGTGCCGAGTTTCCTCCCCTCGTTCCTCGCCTCATCGGCCGCTGGCTCCACGGTCTGCGCTTCCGAGGCCGCTGGCTCTGTGGGAGCTGGCAGGGGCGCTGCTGGCAGCCCTGCGGGCGGCAGCCCTGCGGCCGGCGGCCCCCAGGGAACTGCCTGCTCCACGGCGCCAGGCTCCACGGGCTCCAGCCCCGCCTAGGAGGACGCCAAGAATACACTTGCACCGATCCTGAACAGAGAATGCCTTTCTGTCCAAGCCAGGAAGGCGTATGCACCGATCCAGGGCCCAGGAGCGGCCTGGCCGGGATCGATCGGTGTAGGTGCCATGTTGATGCCCTCCTACCGCCGCCAATGACCCCATGGGAGCCGCCGGCTCCACAGGCTCTGCAGGTGGCAGCTCCACGGCCACCGGCTCGGCAGAAGCCAGCTGCTCAGCGGCCAACAGCTCAGCAGGCGGCCCCTCTGCGGCAGCACCTGGCCCGGCGGGCGGCGGTTCCGCGGCCAGCAGTCCTGAGGCCTGCGGCTCTGCGGCGGGCGCCAGCGACTCTGCGGCCGGCAACTCCGCGGGCAGCGGCTCCACTGCTGGCGCCGGCGGCTCTGCGATTGGCAGGCAGGCGGGCGGCAGCTCTGCTGCCGGCGGCTCTGCAGCAGCGCGCGGCGGCTGCGCAGCCGCCTCCTCTGCAGCCAGCGGCTCGCCTTCTGCAGCAGCCAGTGGCCCAGCAGGCGGCGTGCCTGCGGCCAGCAGCCCTGCAAGTGGAGGCTCCGCTTCTGGCGGCTCTGCGGCACCGGGGCTCGCCGCCGGCGCGTCAACAGCCTGGCCGAGCGTCTTCGTTCACAAGGGGGCCCCCGCATGCCTGGCCTATGCTGCAGCCGCGCCCACGATAAGGCATCCGTGCTCACTCACCCCAGCAATTGGACACGTAGCTTGCACATCTGGGAGTTCGAGAGCATACTGGTTAACACGCTGGCATTGCTCAGTCGCGGGGAGGGATCTCAAGCAAAAGACAGAATTTGAAAACGGCACACTTCCACCCGTGTCAATGCTGAAAGATACAAGCGTTAGGGGCATGAAGTGCAAGGACACCCCGAGGGGGCCTCAAGCTCATGAGAGAACGAGATGCTGGAAACCACCCACCGCCCGTGTGCTGAAAGCGTTCACTTCAATAGTCGCAACGGGTGTCCAAGTCGCACGTTATAATCATATGCTGAAAAAATGAACCGCCATGTGCGCATGCAACTGATGAATCATTCAAACTTCAGGGTCGTGATAGATCGAGCAGTTTCTGGAGAAATGCCCGGGTTACCCAACCAACACCCCGCGTGGCACAACGGTGAGTTATTCACCCGCATGTGACAGGGCAGATGGCGAGCGCCACGACGTGGCCCCATACACATCCCCTCAGCCACGTCGCCATCCTGGTATCGTTTCTCCTGCTACTTCTCGTCCTTCTCACTGGGCTTCTGGAAGCCCCCCCCACAGCTCTCAGGAAAAGACGTCAGGAACTCCAGGACACGACTCCGTTGGTTCGTGGTTCAGCGCTTCCACGATGCCCTCAAGCGCTTAGCTGCTTCGGCGGCGGCACGAGTCGGACTGTGGCTCCTCCTCCCCGAACGGCGGGCGCCTGCTCCCTGGCCGGCGGCGCGCGCGCCCAAAACTCCACGTGGCCGCCGCAGGGGGTCCGCATGGCCAGCACCCCGTCCGCCTCCAGGCGCAGGTCCATGCCTTCGTACTTGGAGCTCCTGTCCACTCGCCATCGCTCGGACGTCCATTCCCTGTGTTTTTTTCAGTTTCGTGTGTGGTTTTTCGCCAAATGATCAAGGATGCTCCTCGATGGTCCTCGCCGAGAAAAAAGTGCACACGTCCGAGCGATGCCAAGTCCACGCGGAGGAAGAGGACGACGAGGAGAGCTGCTCCGAGCTGGGCTCGGGTGAGGAGCGCGCCCCTGCCCCAATCGGCGGGCTGCCCCGAAGCAGACTCGGAGAGCAGGCGCGCGGCTGCGCGCCTCGCGTGCCGCGGCGGCTGAGCACTCGCTGCGAGGACGACGAGGACAAAAAGGAGGCGACGGCGGAGGGAGAGCAGGACGGAAAGGATGGGGGAGGAGCAGGACACCCGGAGTGATCGAGTCCACACGTCAAGGCATGGAGCACCAACTGTCGTTCGCCAGCTCCTAAGAGAACATTGATCGAACTACCTTCGAGCGCCAAGCCGATACACTAGGGTGCGCTAGAATTTGTTAGCCTGCGGCATGCTGCGCATGGGAGTCCCATGGCCACAATACACGACAAAGGGGCGGAGGAGGAGGAGGAGGAAGAGGAGGAGGAGGAGGAGGAGGAGGAGGAGGAGGAGGAGCAGCAGCAATACCAGCTGACTGCGTATTTACTCCGCTCCCACATGGGCACCCAATCTTCTACCATTTGTTTCGGGCACCCCTTGCGTCCGCACTGGCAGCACCCCTCATGTGCTAGCTACCACATGCCCAACGTCAGCGCGCTCGTCTGTTCTCTCGAAGAGCGCGACGAGCCTGGCCTTCATATGCCCGCCCGACGTGTACAAAGAGGAGCGGCAGCGAGAGCGGAGGCGGAAGACAGTCGAAGTTCGCTCTCTCTGGCTAGGCCCATCTCCTCCACGGCTCACTGTGCGCCGTGGACCTGGAGAACTGCGACGGAGGAGGAGGGGTGATACAGTAGGAGCTCGACCACAAGAAACCTCCCACAAGAAACCCAACCCTGAGACCCCAGGACGCCCACTGCTTTTTGGCGTGGGGACGTCACGCTTTCCATAGCAAAACCATCGAAATCCAAGAAACCCAGGGCACCCTGGAGGCAAGCAGGGTGCTTCTTGGCATGGGCCTCCACTGTAGTATGGCTCTGGGGCGCCTTAACACCGTTAGTGGGCCCAGCTCCCTGATGCCACCACCCTGGAGGGCACGGGGCGACGGACGGAGGAGGAGAGGTGGCAGGAAAGGAGGGATAGCGAAGATGCCTCGCAGTCGAGCCTGATTGCGTCAACCTCGGCGGCAGAAAGCAGTATTTCAATAACTGTGGCACCTGGCACCTGCTTTCTCGTACCAATACGTCGGCGGCCGTCAGCGCGATCGCGCGCCTCCTTCCGATTCCAGCCCGGGCCTCTGGGCACCTCAAGGGGCCCCACCGAACAAACAATAACAACACAGCGACGACAACAACTGCACGACGTGACTGATATGTCTGGCACATACACGCACACACTAACACGCACGGCGGAGCAACATGGCGATGGACCATGTCCCCGCACGCTAAACAACACGAGGGGGGGCGCTGAACGCAGAGCAGGAACGTGTTCCTGCCGAACGGTCCGCCGCAGCGGCTGCCAGGGAACGCGAGGGGAGGAAGACGAGTACCTGGTTGACTGGAGTATTGGGCTATGGAGGCAGGTGTGGACCCTCCTGTGTGAACGTCTTCGTTGGCTGAGGGTCCATGAAGGAGTTTTCGGCCCCCTCCGAAGCATAACCGGCAGAAAGTGAAAGGTTGCCGAATGAGCGACGTGGAACCAAATCGGGACCACGGCGCGGGCAGTAGGGATGACCCCGTGTTGGTGGAGCCCCGTCAGCACCGCTTGCACTCACAGAACCTGTCGGAACTGTGGGTGGCTCGGGCGTCCCCGGGGCGCCCAGTGAGAACGCGACTGCCATGGACCCTGACGGAACCATGGAATTCGCATGTCCACGCTGGCGAGCGTTGACGCCGTCCGCGACCCACTGGGTCCTGCAAATGGGAGTCCTGAGGAGGGGAAGCCTGAAAGGAAGGAAAGGAACAATTTGGCCCCGAAGGGAGGGGAGGTGGGCAGGAGAAGAGGGGGAGGAAGGGTATGCAGTCCGATGCAAAACGGCGAGTGGGAAAAGGCAGAGGTCCAGGTGGCACGGAAAAGCATGTAATACCTCCCAGAAGCGCGCATCCCATGAACACACTCGGCGGGGGCGGAAACAGGACTCAGGCCAGAATGTCGGCCACGCTCGCAGGACGCGGTTTGGGACGAGCCGGCCCCCCGTACCGCATTCGACTAGGATGTGACTCGCGTGCGAGGGGGTCATCATTCCTGCCCGTGGAAGGCTCGGTTATCCGCCAGGTCCTGAACACAGTAGTCCTGATACGGGAAAGCCTGACAAGGAAGGGAAAACCGAAGAGGCCCCGAGGGAACAAGCCTCGAGCCTGGAGGCTGCGGGATACCTTAAAGGAATCGCCGACCGCCTGGAGGCTGCAGGATACTGAGGAAACGAGCCTACCGCCGCCGACCATCTGGAGAGGGCGCCAACGGAAGCAGCCGCCACCCAGCCGCCAACTTTCCACTGGCATCCACCAGGCAAGACCGGCGGAGGGGGAGCGAAAAAAGGCTTTACTTCCACTGCCGTCCGCGTGCCCACCACCGCCATCCACCAAGAGAATGTGTCATCCATGGCTTCCGCCGCTCATCCGTCGACCCGCCACCAACTTCGACCCGACCGTGACCCATCCCCGTGCTGCGGAGCCTGACGGAACCAGCGCCCGGAAATGAGCACAGAGCCCCGGGTGCCTTAGAGGGCGGGGCACGACCTGTCCAAAACCCACATGGAACCTGCCTGGACGGTGGCGTGGGCAGGGCATGCTCCCCAGAATGTCTATGAGGCACAGCAGCGCCACATGAGTGACATATAGTGGAAAGAGAACTATGCACATACACCGATTCTGGCCAGGCCCATCCTGAGCCCAGGATCGGTGCATACGCCCTCTTACCTTGGCCAGGAAGGTATATGCACCGATCCTGGGTCAAGGATGGACGTTGTCGGGATCGGTGCACGTGCATAGCTCTCTTCGCCCGAACACAGAGGCCTGACGGAACACCGTGGCACGGACGGCGCTGGGCGACCCTTGGTGTACTGATGTGGTGGTCAGCAGATGACGCCAGAATGCTGTGGCTTACGGGCACTGAAGAGCATCGATGGGGGTCACGAAGGTGGGGGCAGGGCAACCGAGGGTGGGGAAGGGAAGAGCGGAAGGAAGGAAAGAAGGGAAGGAAGGGAAGTGAAGGGAAGGCGAAGGGGAAGGGGAAGGGGAAGGGGAAGGGGAAGGGGAGGGAGGAAGGAGGAAGGAAGGGGCAGGGGAAGGGGAAGGGGGTGGGGAAGGGGCAGGGGAAGGGGCAGGGGCAGGGGAAGGGGAAGGGGCAGGGGAAGGGGAAGGGGAAGGGGAAGGAGGAAGGGCAACCGAGGGTGGGGAAGGAAGGGAAAGCGAGGAGCAGATGGGGTCAGGTGGAGCAAAGAGAAGGCGGCGCGCATGGGGCACGTTCGAGACAAGCCCCCTCCCGACGCGCAGCAGAGGGGAGCGCAAAGGTGCGCAACCAGGTGGGATGGATGACCACAGCCAACTAGAGGACATCTTGGGTATCTGCGCCTTGGGCGTGCTGCGCCAGGCCGCACACATGGCCCTAGGAAGGCGAGCGAGCGAGCGTGAGGGCGAGCGTGAGAGCGAGAGCGGAAGCGAGAGAGAGAGAGAGAGCGATAGAGAGAGTGAGAGAGACGAGAGAGAGAGAGAGAGAGCGAGAAAAAAAGAAAAAAAAAAAAAAAAAAAAAAAAAAAAACGCACCAGGGAGGAAACGTCGGTTGTCGTAGCTTCCACATTGGCCCTCCTGTCTCTCTTCCCCCTCCTCCTCCTCCTCCTCCTCCTCCTCCTCCTCCTCCTCCTCCTCCTCCTCCTCATTTCGACGACAACGACGACGACGACGACTAGAGCAAGAGCAGGAAAAACGAGGGATGGCAAGGAATCGTTTCTCGCGCGTTCCGCAACGCTGCCCGCCGCGCTGCCGCGTGGTCCAGGTCTTTCGCATCGCCCACTGCCATGACGCCGCGGGCGAGCGCCTCAAGCTCGAGGGCTGCGGTTGAGAACGAGAAGGGACGGAGGAAGAGGAGGAGAAGGAGGAGGAGGGGGAGGAGGAGGAGGAGGAGAAGGAGGGAGAGACGGAGGGATAAAAGGAGGGAGAGAAGGAGTCCAAGGAGAAGAAGGAGGACAAGGATGAGAAGGAGGAGGAGGAGGCGGAGGAGGGAGAGGAGGAGAAAACGGGAGGAGGAGGCGGAGGAGGAGGAGGCTGGACGACGGCGACCAGGCAGAATAGGGAGAGGGGCGAGGAAGGATGGGGGAGGATGAACGAGGAGGGATGGAGGAGGATGGGGATGATGATGAGGAGGAGGAGGAAGAGAAAGAGGAGGAGGAGGAGGAGAAGGAGGAGGAGGGAAGGGGAGGGGAGGGGAGGGGAGGGGAGGGGAGGGGAGGGGAGGGGAGGGGAGGTGGGAGAGAGAGAGAGAGAGAGAGGACAAAAAAAGAGAAGAGAGCGGAAGGGGGAGGGGGATTAGAATAATGACAAAGCGAAGGAGGAGGGACAGGGGGGCAGGAGGGGAGGAGGGCAGTAGTAATAAGCTTGGGAGGGAGAGAGTTCATGAGGCGGAGGCGGGGGGCGAGACGAAACCTAACCTGGCACACGGCCTTGATGCTTGAATGCGCCTTGCCGTCGCAAGCCCTTTCCCCCATGACCAGATGCAGGCATTATCCTGCACTCCGTCGAGTGCCCCCGCGTCCCGAGGGCCAGTCGCAGGCTCTGCGCCTTCGCAACGCGATGGCCCAATGACCGTGCCACAAGTTTGGGACACGGGCAAGCTGGAAGGGCCGTAACCCCGCGGCCCTGCTACGGAACGTGTCCCTGGGAGGACTGGTGCGATGATGGCATCATAGCACACCGCAGCAAGGGTGCTTGCAAAAAGCGTCTGCAGAGCCTAGGCGAGGGCGCGATTCCAAAAAGCAACCAGCCTTCACTCACGCAGCTGCACCAACATCTAGCTGCGCGCAGAAAGTTGACGAATGAGAATGTATCCGGCAACTTGAAACGAACAGGGTTCCATTCGTCGCTGGAGAAAGGCACGCGGCCGTCGGAGTCACAACTTGGGAGGGGGGCCTAAGCGAGACCACGAAAACACGAAAATGAAAAACGGCGGCCCTCCATAAGTATAGGTGCTTGATGTAAAAGAACCGTGATCACAGGCTGCAAATCCGTGAAAAATTAAAAACGAACAAAACAAACAAACAAACGACGGGAAACGCATCGCCCTCCATATGCGCAGCTGCTGCGAGATTATGATGATCGGGGCCACTCGCTGCAAAAAGCCCTCCAGCGAGAGCGCGAACCTTCAAAATGAACCGCCCTCCACCTGTATGGCTACCGGACGCTTCAACATGCGAAATGCACGCTGTGCGGGGCAAAACTCCAAACGCGAACGCGATGCTCAAAACGTGCCTCTCGCCCATTGCGTAGTTGCGCGGGGCCGTCAGCTTCTTGGTCGCAGCTGCTGCTATGTCTCGGTCGAGACGTCCAGCCCGTTGATCCCGACACGCCTGGTGATGCGGCTACACAAAAATCCCAAAAAGGGGAAATCGGATCGGATCCGTAGCGCACGGGTGGAAGAATAATGACAGCTTAGAGATGTCCAACAAGGGGGAGGAGGAGGAGGAGGAGGAGGACGAGGAAGAGGAGGAGGAGGAGGAGGAGGAGGAGGAGAAGGGAGGGAGAGGAGGAGGAGCGGCGGTGGATGCGGAGGTCGAGGCGGAGGTGGCCAGGCAGGCGCCGGTCATGCTGAGCCCAACTTTCGAAACTACTGGGCATGATCTAGGGCGCCAGCGGCAAGGAGTCAGCGCGCATGGCAGGGGAGGAAGGCCCTCGTCCCAGGGCAGCAGGAACCACGAAGATAGCAAGATCCGCTGCCCCCCCTGAAGGCGGGGAGAGTAAAAACAGGAAAAGGAGGAGGAGGAGGAGGAGGAGGAGGAGGAGGAGGAGGACGAGGAGGAGGAGGAGGAGGGGAGGAGGAGGAGGAAGGAGGAGGAGGAGGAGGAGGAGGAGGAGGCGGAGGAGGCGAGGAGGAGGAAGGGAGAGGAGGGAGAGGAGGAGGGAGGAGAGGAGGAGGAGGAGGAGGAGGAGCGGGAGGAGGAGGAGGCGGAGGAGGAGGAAGGGGAGGAGGAAGAGGAGGAGCAGGAGGAGGGGGGGAGAGAAGGAGGAGGAGCAGCAGCAGGAGGAGGAGGAGGGGGAGGAGGAGGAGGAGGACGAAGAGCGCCAGTAGCCTGAGGGCGGGCTCCTGTGCGACGCGGCAGCGGGCCGCGGCGGCGGGGAGCCTAGGCCTCAGGGGGCTACTTCGTGATGTTGAGGCGGTCGACGGCGGCCAGGGCGGAGGAGGAGGAGGAGGAGGAGGAGTGCACGTACTCAAAGAGGAAGAGACGAGGGCAAGCGGGCAAGACGCGAGAAGAGGGCAAGTTGTCCCGCGCCTGTCCCCTGGCGCCCGTCTACTTAAGCTGAACAGTAGCGCTGCTCGGGCGCACAGGCGTGCTGCGGGGAGCACGGGGCCAGACGCGCGGGGAGCAGAAGTGGATGTGGTACTTGGTGGTGAAGACGCCGCAGGTTGCAGCGCGGGGGCTCGGCTCACCAGCCCATCTGCAAGGGCAGCGAGTGGCGTACAGCAGCCGCGAAGTTGCAGTAGATCAGATCGGCGAATGAACGGCGTGTGAGGAACAGCCCAAGCATCGGCCTGACAGTCATCGGCAGCAGGAGGAGCGTCGACGTGCACTCGGTCGCCCGACGGAGTCCAGCAGACAGCGTGCGGGCCAGACGGCAACAACAACTCGTCGTATATCAGCGCGTCGGTCTCGCTCGGCGTAAGCTCGTCGGACTCGCTCAGCGGGTCGGGCAGGTTGTGACCGCGAGGGGGCTGAAGGTCAGGGCCGTCAGTGTCATCTTCGATGTGCTTCAGCCTCTGGTCGAGCGTGTCCGAGATGTCCTTCTTCAGGTTGTTGACGCGCAGCCCCAGCTGGGTGACTTGCGACTGCAGCTCAGTTTGGTGAGAGCGAGCTTCTGCGACTGAGATGCGAACGTCAGCAGCAGCAGTGTGAACGACCTCGATCACTCGGCGTGCTTCGTCACCAGCACGGCGAAATTCCTGTGGGCGACCGTGGGCTTCATCTGCAGCACGACGGGCGTCAGCTGCAGCGGCGTGAACTTCATCAGCAATATGGTGGATGTCGGGGGTCATGACGCGCGTGTCGTACGCGGCGCTGAGCTCGGCGCGCATGTCGTTGATCTCGTTGGCGACCTGCCTTTGGAAGGGGTCCATGGCGAGCTTGATCGAGGTGGCGAACAGGGTGGACAGCTGCTTGGCGCGGGAGGCCGACAAAAGCTCGAAGCTTGCGAGAAGCTTGCCGCTCAGCTGGTCAAGGGTCCGCTTCTCGAAAGTGTGGAATATGCTGTCCAGGGTCCGCGCGTCGAACTCCCTGTGCGTGGCGGTCGTGTCCGAGCCGGAAAAGACGATCGCAGGCTTGATGAAGGACTCGGGCTGGTCGGTCGCACCTGGATGGGCGGAACGTGGATCGCCCGCAGGGTTACCCACGTTGCACTTTGAACGGGCCGTCGAGGCCTCGGCGAGCGGGCCCAGCACGGGGAAGTCAGCGTCGAAGGTGTCCGCCCAGCTGATGCGCTTGGCAGGCGGTGGCCGCGAGGCTGTCGCTGATGACGTCGCATGGGAGTTCGATGAGGTGGGGCATGGTGACGAAGTCCAGCGCTTGTGGCGAGCGATGTTGCCAGCCGTGTTCCAGACCTTGAACTCCTGCCCCCCCCCCCCCCCCCCCCCCCATGGGGTGACGCGGCCGCCAGCGGAAGCCGCCGTGCAGAGCTCGGAGCCGCTGCGCCTGTGGAGCCCCGACTTGGCTTCAAGCTTGCGCACGTTGTCCGTCGCCAGCGCCAAGATTTTCGACTCGCGAGCGACAGCCGCAGGAACAGCAATATGAACCATGTCGGGATCGGCACGCGGCCGAAGGTGACCCTCGGCAACAGCACGGCGGCGACGAGAATCAAGAGCAGCGAGTGAACGACGCCCACGGGGACGAAGAATGTTCGGCACACGTAGTGAGTACGTAGAGGAAGTTGTCGCCGCGCTTGCAGCGGAAGTCGACCGCGGAGTAGCGCCGAAGGCCGTCAGCATCACCGCGTTTGCAGTGTAGAAGAACGTGGACAAGACGATCAGCTGCATGAACATGGCATGGCCTCCGCGCCTGCAGAGTCTCCGCTCGGGCCCCGGAGCTGCGCGCGCGGGATTGGCACTTGAGCCAAAATGGCTACGGAAGGAGGAGGAGGAGGAGGAGGGGGAAGAGGAGGGGGAGGAGGAGCACACACACACACACCCCGAAGGAGACGACCGACGACGGCGAGATGACCAGTCAATCCCTCAACGCAGCAATCGTCGCAGGCGGGCCGCGCCTGCGCAGCTGGATGAGGCGGGCTTCGGTCAGCTTCTCAACTCGCTCTCGTTCACGAGCGGGCGCGATTCGGGGCCGCCACTTCGCTTCGCGGTACCAAGTGTAGCACAGAACAATATACAAGAAAGCAAAGCGAATGAGAGGCGAAAGGCCGAGAGGAAGCAACAGGAACCGGGAAGCACGGACAGGGGCGGGGGCAGAGAGCAACGAAGGGGAAGCGGGAACAGGAGACGGAGCGGGGCGAAGCAGGGACAAACAAGAATGTGGACTATGCAATCAGCGCTACCAATCCCACATAATCGACAGTCGACGGTTGCACCTCTAAGTCTTCGGTTGGCACACCTGGAGTTATAAAACGCGCGAACAACATTCGAGACGACGCATGTGGGAACGTGCTCGCAGAGACGATTCAACGCTAGATGCGTCGGGTCAGGCTGATGCGGAAAAGGGGAATCACCTAATTTCCTAGGCCGTTCCTTAAGAATCGAACGGAGCGAAAATGGAGAAAGACCGAGGAGGGCGGACTCTGTCAGGGCTTGTAGCTTAGGCGCGCCGAAGGTCGGGACCGAGGGCACGGCATTCAGCTTTCGACAATTATCGCTCATGGCATACACGACGGACGACCTCAACGCCGAGGACCATTCCAACATGTGAGCATTTTGCCAAAATCGATATCATCCTCGAAGGATGTCTTGGCCTCGAGAAAGGCGGGCGACCAGACGGCGGCTCTCTGCGCATAGCCGCGCGGCTCGCGGCCTCGAGGGACCTGGCCTGAGCAGGGAGCCCAATTTTTTTTGCAACTGCTGTGGGATGTTCTGGGAGAGGCCGCTACTCGGGGCGTTGGCAATGCTATGCTGAGCTCCCCGAATAACTCGCAGGGCTTGCGGGGTAGGAGGGCAGAACTGGGCGACGTGCACGAGGGCCGAAAAAGCCGGGAGGTTCAAACTCATAACCCAAGACAAAGCTGCTTCATCTCGAGGGCCCTGGATACAGAGTTAGACGCAGAACGCCCCCAACTTCCCCCGCGGCCATTCCCCCCCAGAAATGCTCGCAATTATTTGCCAGCCAGGCGGGAAATCAGGCCCTGGGCAGTAGGAACACCAGCGGCCGCCATCTCGGCGCGACGCTGATCATGCAAGCGGTCGCCGAGCGGCGCAATTCCTGACCTCTCAAAGTGAACGCGCAGGCCCACGGCTGCACCCGCAACCTTCCAAAGCGGCAGGATATCGCGAAAGGTGGAGAAGACATCGGCCGAGGAGATGCCGATCTCACCGGCGAAAGCGGCCAAACCGGAGAGGTGCCCAGGGATTCTCGCGAGCATCCAACGCATGAGCGGGTCCAGGGCAAGGCGGAATATTGCCCCTGACAGCGGGCAACCTTGCATTGTCCATCTGGAAGCTACGTTCGAGGCCATGCGGCCCCCACAGAAGTTGGCGTTGATTTTGACGTCCTCATACAGTGCTTGCACCCTAGTGATGACATGGCTGGGAATGCCCATGACCCGAAGAGCCCAAAGTATCATTCTGTGGAGTAAGCGAGGAGATGCAGTGCGGACGTCGCAAGATAGATGGCACCCGTTTTTTGGTGACCATATTGCGCAAACCATGATGCAGCATTACTTTCAAGGTGTATCATGCTCTCATTCATGAACCGACCTGCAATAAAGACTCGCTGGCGTCCTACAACCGTTTGGGAAGCGACCCGAGAAAAGGCTCTGTTTAGGGCAACCGAGACGAGCTTGTTATCCGAGCTCCCAAGGGCGATCGAGCGCGCGATTTCGGGCGTTCTACTGATCTGCTGAGGGGCGCCATCTGGGTCGCTACCCCCGGCGAGAAGAACGGCCACGCCACGGTTAAAGCCGACGGGGGCGCATCCGTCCACGAACATCTCGGAATAATGCCCATAAAGACACTCGACAACTGCTGGGCCTCTGGCATGGAAGCTGTAAGGAACACCGCCGGAGCCACGAGGGGAGCCGGAAACTTTGGAATGGAGATGCTGGAACCCGAGGGGCTCGAGCTTCCACTGGACGTCATGGGGGGGGGGGGGGGCAGATCTGAGCAAAATCACGAAGCAGTTGACGACCCCCATCAGAGCAGTCTACCTGAGATTGCATCTTACCCCAACAACTGGCGAGCTCGGCGGCGAGGCAATCTGGATCGGCGACGGCCTTGCCAGTCGGATCCGAGACGCCAGACGAAGAAGTGCGCCGAAGCTTCCGCCCCCGCGCTGCCTGGTATTTGAAAAACTTAATTGGTGTCTCCCGTTTCTGGTATCCGAAACTTCAATGTGTTTAACTGCGGCAATTTGCTGTTGGATGAGCTCGCGTTTCATCTCGTTGAGGCGGGAATGGAAGCAACGGAGGTCGACCTGCGCGGCGGACTCGGGATCGAGGAAGCGGCGCTGCGCGGGGCAGACCCGCGCGGCCTCCTGGACAAGCCGCAGCTGCCAACGAAATGCGCCACGAAGAGCAGAGAGAGACCAGGATATTCTCGTCCAAGGTCTCGCTGGCCTGCTCGGCGCCGAATCGCAGCGCGCCCTTGTAAGCCTGCAACCAAATGTATTTGACCTGGCTGCGTCTCTCGACTGATTCGTCCGACAGAGGCCCAACGCGATTGGTTGAACCGTCGGCGGCGACAGGAAACTGCGGGCGATTGGTCGCGGCGATTGGAGATCCAGCTAGACTCGCTGAATCCACAGCTGGTCCCAGGGCTCAATGTCAGACACGCGGGGGCGCGGTCGGAGAGTTCCCCGACCTTCGACGTGGACTCCAACGTATGGGCCTCGGGGTGGTACTCCAAAATGGCGGCGCTGAACATGTCAGTATATATGCGATCGGTACGACTGAAGCTTTAAACGACTTGGACCCCCCCCGTAACCCCGCGCGCGAAGGCGGGCTGCTCGACCTCGCGCAGATCGGCGAAGCGCTGCTCAAAGAAGCGCTGGAGTAGTGGGCC